TGATTTTGTACAGAGAAGAAGGGAGAAAGATAGTTAGAAACATCGATGAGAGTCATTGATCAGCTGCCTCCTGCACACCCCCCACTGGGGATATGCCCACAACCAAGGTACCTGCCCTTGACCGGAATCGAACCCAGGACCCTTCAGTCCCCAAGCCGAAGCTCTATCCATTGAGCCAAACCAGTTTTGGCTACCAGTCTTTTTAAAGCCCAGCAACAAGTTGTTTCTTCATTTCTTAGGCTGAAAAGAATCTGAGTTCCCATGTTATTGCTGAAGGAAATGGAGGGAAAAAATTTCAGTAAATTGTCCTGATTATTAATATGAAACCAAAGCAAGGACTTTTCTTAATACTGTACAGCATATATAGGGATTCATATATATGAAATGGCCATGAGGTAGATCTGTTTTTAAAAAATATATATTTTTATTGATTTCAGAGAGGAAGGGAGAGAGATAGAAACATCAATGATGAGAGTATCATTGATTGATCAGCTGCTTTCTGCACACCCCCTCCTGGGGATCAGGCCTGCAACCCGGGCATGTGCCCTTGACTGGAATCGAACCCGGTACCTTTCAGTTCACAGGCCAGTGCTCTATTCACTGAGCCAAACCAGCTCGGGCTAGATCTGTTTTATATTCATTGATACCATTATTTACATTAAGTAGGCTAACTGGTTGATAAATATGACAATCACTATTAATAATCAATAATCCAGTGTTTATCTATGAGCTTAGGACCTCAGGGGTAAAACTGAACCATCTTCCCTAATTCCAGAAAGTTTCTAGCCTAGTGTAACAGGCAGGACACACATTATTATGTTTCCATTTTGCCCTTTCCTCATTTGTAAAATAAGTATCACATCCATTTTCAAAGGATTATGATTTCATAGAATTATAAAGATCAAGTCAAATGTATGTAAAGTGTATGTGACAGAGCCTGCCACACACCAAATGTTCAGTAAATTGTATTTTAAAACTCAAAAAAGAGGCTGGGGCAATTTTGACCTATATAGGTCTTGGGAGCTGAAACAGAAGTAACTGACAGCCCAATTGAAGTTGCATATTCTATTGTAGTTTACTGAGATAGAGTCCTTTTATTTATAATAATATTCTGAAAAAGTAAATAAAATTATTTAACCCAGGAAAGCTATCCTATTCTACATAGATTATAGAAATAATGAAGAAACATACTGATCCCTATTAATCTTATAATAGATTTCATATTCAGTGAGGTTGTTTTGCCATTTAAGCTATTAATAAAGACAAAATAGTTATTTTTCATCAAAAGCTAAGGAGAACGGAATCAGTTTGTCATCAATGTTTTAACACTTAAGAATTTGAGTTATACAGCTTGTTTTACAACCAATGAAACATTTTCTTTCAATATTAGCATTAATGAAATAAACAGTAATGTTCTTCTTTATGCACAAAAGCTCCCAGGACATGAAAGATCCTCCCCACACCTACCCAGTACAAAACACTCTGAAAAGCAGAACTAATCTTTCATAATTATTAGCCTTTCCCCATTTTGAAACAAGCAATACTTTTCTTGATAACCAATACTAATCCGTGTGTGTGTGTGTGTGCGTATAATAAAATTTTTGCATTATGACTAATATTTGAATCTTTAGACAAGTGTCTGTGCAGGAAAAGGGTGGTAGATCATTAGCAATTGTTTCCCCTCAGTCACAGGAGCAAAAGCAGAATTTAGCCTGGGCCTTAAATGCCAAGGCTCCTGGCTCAGACCAAAGCCCCTACACCAAGGTCCTAATCACCACAATGGCCTTATTTTGGGAACAGATTCCTAGACAGTCTTGTGACCTATTTCTGGCAATTACATGGCTTCATCCAGTCTGTTCATCACTGTGGCAGAAGGTAAGTACTGGAACGAACATTCTTTCAAGATATTTCATGGTTTCCAGGCTTCATGAGCATCACTGTGCCTGGAAGGAAAGCATGAACTTGAGCATGTACTCTGCCCAGGAGAACATACAGACACAGAAGGAAAGTGACTCCACAGAAAACACTCCCCACTGGTCACCCCAGACCAGACCACCCAATGGGAAGAGAGTGAGTAAAAAGTGAGTAGTGTGCCAGTATTCTTAACTCCTGTGTGGGGAGAGGGAGGGGAGGAGATCCTGCTGGGCTATCTTCATTCTCGAAGAGCTCATTCTAAGTCTGAGAATCACTGAGTCTTCAAGGATCTCTGTGGCTGGAGTTTTACCTCAGAAAATGCGGGACAGGTAGGGTCCTCCCAATCTCTGAACAGGTGGATTCAGTGTGAAGGGGTTGGGTTAGGCCAGTGGCCGGCAAACTCATTATCAACAGAGCCAAATAACAACAGTACATCGATTGAAAGTTGAGAGCCCAATTTTTAAATATATTAAAATATTTTAATTTTTTTTACAGAGAGGAAGAGAGAGGGCTAGAGAGTCAGAAACATCAATGAGAGATGAAAATTATCAACCAGCCGCCCTTTGCACCGCCCCCCCCCCCCCCCCCTGGGATGTACCCGCCACCAAGATACATACCCTTGCGGAAACCGGTTTGGCTCAATGGATAGAGCATCGGCTTGGGGACTGAAGGGACCCGGGTTCGATTCCGGTCAAGGGCATGTACCTTGGTTGTGGGCATATCCCCAGTAGGGGGTGTGCAAGAGGCAGCTGGTCGATGACTCTCTCTCATCGATGTTTCTAGCTCTATATCTCTCTCCCTTCCTCTCTGTACAAAATCAATAAAATATATTTAAAAAAAAAAAGATACATACCCTTGACCGGAATCGAACCCGGGACCTTTCAGTCTGCAGGCCCACACTCTATCCACTGAGCCAAACCGGTTTTGGTGAGAGCCCAATTTTTTAAGCTTAAACTATATAGGTAGGTACATTGTTATTAACTTAATTAAGGTACTCCTAAGCTGGCCTTTGCTAAAAACTCAAGGGGCCAAAGAGACCCATGTGGCTCACGAGCCGCAGTTTGCCGACCACTGGTCTAGGCGTTCCTTAAACCTCTTCTTTCCCTGGGATTCCTGGCTGCCGTCCAGTGCCCTATTCGGGGCTTCCCTGCTCACTTTTGAAACCTAGGCATTCTAGGGCCTCAGGATGTCTTCTGAAGAAGTCCCCATCTGTGGGAGGGAATGGTGGAATTAAAGACCCCTTAGCACAGCCCGTTCTGCAGCACCCGCAACCTGGCCCATTCATTTAACCTCCGTACCGCTTCCTTCGGGATCTCCCGGTCAAGCTCTGAATCATCTTTTTGGCGCGCTTCGGGTTCCAGTGTCTCCCCACGATGCTGACTTCAACCTTGCCCTCGGGGTCCGGCTCTCCCGTCTGGAGCTGGACTTGGAACTCGCGCTGGAACGCCGGCAGGAGCGCTCTGTTGGGACCTGCGTGGAACAGGGGGCTCCCGAGGGATGAGGTGGGATGGGGAAGGGGGTGACTCAGGTCCCCGGGACTTGAGACCCGCCCTGGGTCTGCCGTGGGTGCCCGTGGGTGGGCCGCGTGGTCAAGATGCCAGCGCACTCACCGAGCATCTTCTCCAGCAGACACGCGTCCACGTGCAGCACGGACGGCTTCAGGGAGGACCTGGACCTGGACCTGGACGCAAACGGCGGGAAAGGAGCCGCTTCCTGGAATGGGAACCCTTCCCGTTGGTCCCTGGGCAGAGCGACCTGCGGAGGGTCCTCAGGCCAGGCGCCATCCCCGACACTCAGGGGAGGACCTAAAGGAAGAGAGAAGCCCATGGGGGCGGGGGGGGGGGGCGGGAGAGGCCGGGTGAGACTGCACACAGTCAGTCCACGGCTCCAGGTTTATCCCTTTCGTATGCCCCGCCTCCTCCAGGGGCGTTTGCTCATTGGCTCCCTCCTACGCTGGCTAGCCAATAGAGTCTCAGCAGCTTTCTAGCGCCAACCTCCAGTCAGCCCACTTGGTGCTTTTCGCTGTAAAGGATGAAGGAACCTGGGTTGGAACACAGGACTTCTTTGAGCTACATTGTTTTCCCAATAATAAAGCCACAGCATTGTGGGATGATGGGAAACACATTGCTCACCAACATTAGATACAGATCAGAGATTTCATGTCTCCCAGCCTGGATGCACTAGTATGAGGATTATTTCTGCACTACCAACCCAGTGATATAATACCGTGTTTCCCCGAAAATAAGACCTAGCGCTTGGAAAGAGAAGACATCCCCTGAAAATGAGACCTAGCGCAACTTTGGGAGAAAAAATTAATATAAGACACTGCCTTATTTTCGGGGAAACAGGGTAATACTTACCAACCCAGTGATATAATAATACTTATTGAGGTCAAAGTACTTCATAACAACAGTATGAGGAAGATACAATTATTGTTTTAATTTTTATAGATTAGTAAAATGGAAATTATGGGATTGGGACAAAAGTCTAGGCAGTAGACTGATGAGTTCCTGTTTGACGATGGTGCTAAAAGAATTCCATTATTTCTTATAATTGACACTTCTAATGTTATCAGAGCTTTGCTTGCCCACAAAATATCAGACAATAGGGCTGCTTCTTAGTATTAAAAAAAATCAGCTAAAAAAAAAAAAGGTTTTGCAGATTTATAGCGATCCTAAATCCTTTGCTGATACTATGAAACCCGCAAACCTAGCATCTACTTCAATGACCATGCTTTTACACAACACATTGATAAGAAGCCTCTTTTCTAAGGAAGCTTTTCCAGGAGTTTTAATGTTGCTACAGAGTCTATTATTTCACAGTCCTTTAGCACATGCTCTGATATAGAGAACTTTAAAGGGTAAGTGTCCCAGGAAGTCTCTAAGATCTTCCAGGGGCTTTATGAGGTCAAAACTATTTTCATAATGCTAACATCTTACTGGCCTTTTTTAGTCTTATTCTTTCGTAAGTGTAGAGTGAACTTTTGCAGAAGCTACATAACCTGTGATATCATAGCAGGTCATATGCAAAGCAGCTTTATGAAAATCCAGCAGTCTTCTATTAAACTGTATATTAAAGAGGTTTGCACTGGAGGACTAAGAAGGCTGAGTCTAATGAAGCAAGACTCTGCTGATACAATCCTTCTAAAAAAAAAAAAAAAAACACGGTTGGAGAGAGCAGCTTTTATTAGAGAATATCATAGGGCTGACTGTACTAACCAACATTCTAAAAAAAAAAAAAAAAAAAAAGGTTTGCAAAAAAATGCAAATGATACCACTTTCCACAATAAAATATTTTGTTTTGGAAAATACAGTTTTTTAAAAAGTTATGTATGTTAACGTTTAATATCTGTATTTTGTTATTTAAGGCAGTGTTTCCCAAAGGGTGGTATGCGTACCCCCAGGGGTACGGGAAGAGTTTGGTGGGGGTACGTGTTGCACCGGATTTTGGTGGGGATATGCACTGCACCGTGCTTAGCTGCACCTAATTCTACGTTCTCATGAGTACGAGGGGTACTCAGCGTTACGAAAATTATAGAAGGCGTACACATATGTCAAAAGTTTGGGAAACACTGCTTTAAGGGAATAAATGAATATTTTAAAATGTTTAACTTTTAATTTCTAATACAGTAAGTAGCAATGGGTAATATAACTGATATACAGAAAAGCTCTTGAGGGAGGTCTCCATAATTTTTAAGACCATAAAGGAGTTCTGAAATCAGAGTTTGACAACTCCTACTCTAAGAGAAAAAAAACATTAGCCCTAGCCTGTTTGTTTGGCTCAGTGGATAGAGTATTGGCCTGCAGACCAAAGAGTCCCCGGTTCGATTCTGGTCAAGGGCACATACCTTGGTTGCAGGCTCCTCCATAGCCTGGGCCCTGGTCTGATAGATGTTAGAGAAACGCTATTTATTTCTGTGGTCCCCTCTCTCTTCTGCTGTCTCTAAAAATCAATGGAAAAATATCCTTGGGTGAGGATTTAAAAAAAATTAAAAAAATATTAGACTTGGTGTCAGAAGACTTAGAGTCTAACTCTGACTTCACTTATTATTTGAGTGCTCTTAGGCAATTCATTTTCCTCTGTTAGCCTCAGCTTATTTACACATACATTTAGGAGATAATATTTGATTGCAAAGAAATGTCATACAGTTGAATGAATCAAAATAGGAAAGAATACAGATTATTGAGCATTAGATAAATATCAGGAATTAATTTTATTACATACAGTATTTGACCAAAAGCCTGGATTGGCAGTTGAAATTTATCTGTAACTGAAGAACCAAGATTATACTGTGCCACTGCCAAGAGTTTAGATATTTGGCTATCTAAAACCTTATCAGAAGTGAACATACACACACACACACACAAACAAACAAAAAACACACAAAGCTCACAGTTTATCCTTAGGAGATATATGCTGAAGTACTTAGGCATTATGTGTCATAATGTTGGCAACTTATTTCAAATGGTTTTAAAAACAATATTAATTTATAACTATATACATATATGTGTACAGTAAAAAAGGAAAACATAATAAAATGGTTGAGTCAAGCTATAGCTGGTTTGGCTCTGTGGATGGAGCGTCAGCTGGCAAACTGAAAGTCCTGAGTTTGATTCTGGTCAAGGGCATGTACTTCAGGTTGTAGGCTCATCCTTGGTCTTGGTCAGGGCATGTGCAGGAGGCAACAATCTATGTCTCTCTCTCACATCGATGTTCTCTCTTTGTCTCTCTCCCTCCCTTCCACACTCTCTAAAAATCAATGGAAGCCAGCTGGCGTGACTCAGTGGTTGAGCGTTGACCTATGAACAGTGGTAGTAGGTCATGGTTTGATTCCCAGTCAGGGCATATGCCCGAGTTTCGTGCTCAATTCCCTGGAGAGGGACCAGGGGTGGGGTGGGAGGGGGAGACTATTCAGAAGGCAGACAATAGATGACATGAGACAGAATAACAGGAGAAAAATAAAGTTTAATGACATAGACACCTCCTATATACATGGGAGAGACTCAGGCAAACTGCGTAACTAGCCCAAACAGCAGAAATCATCACTTTAAATATCACCTTCAGCTAGGAAAAGCACAGTAAACAATGGTGACATTGTTATGCTTACGTAAGTCTGTGCCTTCTGCATTGATAGTGAAGGCAGGCTTCTTTTTTTGTTGTTGTCAATTCTCTCCCGAGGATATTTTTCCATTTGTTTTAATTATATTTTATTTATTATTTTTTAAAATATGTATTTATTGATTTCAGAGAGGAAGGGAGAGGAAGAGATAGAAATATCAATGATGAGAAAGAATCACTGATTGGCTGCTTCCTGCACGCCCCATATTGGGGATAAAGCCTACAACCCTGGCATATGCCCTGGACTGGAATCCAACTAGGGACCCTTCATTTTCCTGGCCGACACTCTATCCACTGAGCCAAACCAACTAAGGCTCCATTGGGTTTTAGAGAGAATGGAAGGGAGGAAGGGAGACAGAGAGAGAGAAAAAGAAAAAAAAAAAAAAGAGAGAAAGAAACATCAATGTGAGAAACATTGATTGGTTTCCTCCTGCGCGCACCCAGATGGGGTCAGGGATCAAACCTCCAATCCAGGTACTTGCCCTTGACTGGCAGTTGAACCTGAGACCCTTTGGTGAAGAAGCTGATTCTCTAACCACTGAGCAATGCAGGCCAGGGAAGGCAGGCCTCTCACTGTGAGGGAAGACCTTTACAGATGAAGATTTCCCTTACAAATGCAAATGTGCTCTTACAAAGGGTAACCTCTCCTTGGTTTTCAGAGCTCTCCCCTATCTGTTGTTTTTTAAAAGTAACCAGCCTAAAATAATATCCCCAAAGAGGCATGTTTTGGGTGGCAAACTCAGCTCCCCTTCCATGACGATAGAAAAAGATATTATTTGAGGTGAACTTAAGTAAAGGAGCTATTAAAATAACTAGAGAAATGGTTCACGCTGAATTTGCTGAAATTAATCTATTAAGTGTAAGGCATACATTAGAAAACTTAAGTAGAACATCTGGAATAAAATAAAAATAACTTTTTTATTTAATAAAAAAAATAACTTTTTTTTTTTTGCAGGAATTGAAAAAGAATAAAAACATGTTTTTCCAAAGGTATGATGTTATGGCAATCAAATACATGCTTGATAGTGTTAATGATCCAATGCTTGGAAAGGCTAAGACTCAAAATGTCAGAATTTAGAGTAAGGAAAGATGTTTTATGAAAAGGTTGCCAACTGAGGAGATAGGAGACCTAATCCTTAAATCCATCTTCCCGAAGCACAGAGTTTAGGCTTTTACGTCAAGGGAAGGGCAAACGGAAGGACTGTTTTTATAGAATTTCTCAAGTGATTAGCATATCTATATGCAAGACTAAGCAGAAGCCTGAAGGCCATGGGAACAAGGCAGGCTTAGAGTCAGAGAGTCTGAGCTATTTACTCTGTTAAAATAGTGCCATGCAAGCTTGTACATATTGGGGCTTTATAAAAATGGCTTTTACATGGAAACCCAATTGTCAAGGAAGCTTAACTGAGTGGTTTAGAAAACTTAATTTTTGGTCTCTTGGTGATTGGATATGGTATTATGTTAAAGAGTTATTTTTCTATCTTATATTTGACATTTGAACTGAATCCTGAATATTTTAATTACATAGCATTTTATTTTTATTTACTTATTTTAATTGAGGAAATATGCTTAATTATTAAAATAAATATTTACTTTGAAATACAGTTAATTGAAATATGGTAGCAACCATACTTTGGTAAAAACTGCTGTTTGAATTTTAACCCCACTATTCTGACTTTGACCTCCGCTTACTTGCTTAAACAATAGGGTAGTTACAGGAGATTCCCACTGACTCAGTAGCTTCAGGGGTAGAAACTATAGATAACCTTTAGAGATTAACCTCTGAGTTCTGCTTCTGTATTATTGGCAAGATAGGGCCACATTCCAATGTTCCCAGCCTTTAGAATTTAGAACAAAGGAAAATTCCTGTGGTTTGAACCTTTAAAAAGACTTGCCTACACCTGGAACAGTGAGGTTGTGTGGAGCCCACCTGCGTGTGGTGCTCTCCTGGCCATCCCGGCCAGTTTTTAAATAAATTTTTGCCTGCTTTTTTTAATCAATCAGCCTCTGGTGGTCTTATTTTGAACCCAGGTTTGACCCCACAACATTAATTTAGTAGCCTTCTTCACATTTTCACCCTTTTAAAAGAGCTACCGACAGCGGATGAGCGTCATCTGAACCAGGAGGTCACATGCCCGGGTTGTAGGTTTGATCCCCAGAAGGGGGTGTGCAGGAGGCAGCTGACTGATGATTCTCACTCACCATGGATGTTTCTATCCTCTCTCCCTTTCCCTTCCTCTCTATGAAATCAATAATATATATATATATATATATATATATATATATATATATATATATATATATATATATATATATATATAAAGAGCCACAGAGATTTCCTTCTTTTTTTTCCAGCAGTTCAGTTGATAAAGATCCTGTCTCCATTTCACAGGAAATGGATTACATTCAATTACTCCTCACAACAGCCAACTGGAAGATTATCCCATTACTTCTGAAGGACTGGTTTGGCTGGCATCTGCAATGGTAGCCAAATAAATGAGGTTTCTATTTAAGTAACACATGTTGGTACTGGACACACACATTCACCAGGCCTTTGTTCTGGTGATACAGTTATCAGCTGGTCATGCGCCTCTCAGAGCCGCTGATTATCTCCTGATTGACATGCGCCTTGCTTCTCAGCCAGTCCAGTAGGAAGGCCTCGGACATTCCCGGAAGCCAGGTTGGAACCCCCCTGCAGCTAGAGCAGAGCCAACCAGCACCTCCAGACACACCACGGAGGCAGCACAGACCCACAGTTACATAGCACTTTCCCATGTCCTGGCTCATTGAATCCTTGCAACTTTATCAGGTTATTTTGTTTTGTGAAAAGATGGTAACTCAAATTGCTCAAAGTTCAATAAGTTAGAAAGTGGTCACTAAACTTACAATATCAGTATACACTGGTCATTAAACGTTGTTGTAAAAGAAAGTGTGTCAAAAGAAAAACACCCACAAAACATGAGTTTGTGGTTAGATTGTAAGTGATGTAGAATCACAGGGCGGACTGATACTTTCGTGAGCTTAGATTTGTACTGGGCAGCACTACTGAATAGGATTAATTAGTGTGTGAGTGATTTGAAATGAGTGGATTATTTTATATTGCGTTAA